ATCTGGATGGAATAAATGATACAAGACACATTTATGACCCTAGTAGTTATACATGTATGAAAACTGAGATATTGATCGCTGATCGTCTTAACATCGATGTTTTAATAACAAGGACTCATGATGTTCTAGACTAGAGATTTTAAAACCGAGACCCTCATCAAGGTTGAATCGCTTCAGTATGATTGATGAGTATTGATGAACAGTGCATTGTGGCATATACTGGATCTCCATTAAGTTCTGCTGCAGGTCAATCCATCCCCATGACCAGATCTCAACCTTCACCGTCACTGAAAGTGTTCTAGATCTGTTTAATTAGAAATGTTCAGTGCTGATTTTAACTGAGTCTTGGCTGAAATGTGACTCAAAGCACCAAACGGCTGCAGTTTGTTTCACAGTGAAAGCTAGTTTGACTGCAGAGCCGTGTTTCTATGTTTAGTCCCTTGATGAGATGAAGTTATATGAGGGTTTCTAGCGTAGGATGGATGTGTTCACACGGTTTAAACTCTTACATTTACTCTGAAGTGTGTAATTTCTGGAGTTTATACTTGACTCTGAGTTAGTTACAACACACCTCACTCTTTACATGTGTGTATTTATTGCTAATGTTCCATTAGACGTCATGCTTGTATTCATCCCTTTTCTTACTCTACTGAAGTAGAATTATGATGGTGCCTAGCTTCGGGATCTACAGAACTCACTCAGAACTGAATGACGAGCACAAGTTGCCCACAAACAATCATGGCAAAGTCTTTCAAATTCATAGTAATGCATTCTCCATTCTGGATTGCAAAAAGAAAGTGTCTAGTGCCGTAGTGCAATGTGACAAACATGGAAGCAGAGGGTGTGTGTTTGTTAATTATAATGGCCGAGATCTAGATCTGCGTCACTGTTGCTATCGAGTTCTTGTTCTTTACGTGACAGACTCAAAACTCATCTGTTTAGCTGTGCATTTACTGAATGAGCACTGTGCGATGTCCGAACTGATTGCACTATATTATATGTATAATCGTCTTCTTAAATTCATTTTAAACTTCTTAAATTAATTTTTTTTAATTTTTTTTTTATATATAATTTTCAAAGTTTTTAAATTCCTTGTTTTATTGTTGTGATTATTGTTTTTATTTTATTTTATGTAAAGCACTTTGAATTACCATTGTGTATGAAATGTGATATACAAATAAACTTGCCTTGCCTTGAACGGACCTTTAGGGCCAGTTTTACTAACAGCTTGCGCCAGCGCAAACCGTCTTTTGGCGTTAAAATAGTACTGTCAGAATTTACTAAAGACGCCATGAAGAATTAGCGCTGAAAAGGCGTGGACAGTTATTTTTGCGCCCGACCTTATTGCATATGCGTTTCTAGGAGTTTCCCTTTCAGACGCAAAATTTATGGGAGAGTATTCAAATGAATCACGCAACACGTTTTACTAACGTTTGTGCTCGTCAAATTACTGGCATTCGTGCCATTATTTAACGCCCAAAAAAGCATGTCTTAAACTATTTTGCGCTTGAAATGGCTGCAGTCTGTTGCTAGGAGGAGGCACCGCAGAGATGAGAGCGTGTGTGGTAGAAGGCAGAGGATTTTTTTTCCACACGTAATTTATTTGGAATGCAAGAAGAACACGAAAATATTGTTTGGCAAGCCATGTTATTTTTAATTTGCTTCAGGAAATAAAAGACGATTTGGAACCCTCAACTAGGGAGTCATGCAATACTAGCTCTATCAAAACTTCTTGCAACTTCTAGCATTTTTTGCCTCCGGTTCGTTTCAATGTAGCCTACTATGGCTTCTTTATTTGCGACTCCTCTAATTTGCGCTACACTTGGTATATTGCGTTGGTAGATATGTAAATGAGATGTTGCGTCTGTGTTCTTTAATTTGTGCGTTGTTAGTAAATCACCCGCAGAAATTTCCACACCCATCGGCGCTCTTTTGGAATTACACTCTCGCTAATTTGCCGTTTCGTCAAACTGGCCCTTATTCTTTTAGATCTGGTGAGGTGCGGCTTACAGTCATGACACACACTTGACTCCCTCTTTGAGTCCTCAGGTTAGAGTAGAGGCGATCGTCCAGTGTGGATGCCAGTTTGTCTGACGGACTGATGTCAGTGAGAGTGTGACGCGAGTCCTGATCCGGATCAGTGGGATCCGGTATGAGTGTGTTTGTATTTGAATGCAAATGAGAAGTAAATGTAGCCATTGGTCCACCACGGTCCATCTGTGAATGTTTATGTGAATCTGCGGAATGAGCATTTGTTCCCCAGTCTTCCAGTATCCCACAGTCTCTAGCACTGTTGTCCTGCGTTTGCGATGAAAAGAATTGCCGGCTTGTGTTGTTGCTGCTGTTGTTTGCGTTTTCCTCCAGGTCTGGACCAGAACTTCTTGTTTCTGAGGGCGGATCAGCACCCTCCAGCTCTGGACAGGATTTTTCCGGCTCGGGCGATTCCGTACTCGCTGCTCCCTCACTGGCTTCCTCATCCGCGGCGCTAGCGATGCGAGGCAAGGTACTGTGATAGCGTGTGTCTAAGGGGTAGTTGGCACTGTCACCTCGGCGGAGTGGATAGCAGCGCTGTCGCTCTAAAGATGGCGAGAATCGAGCGGCACCGGGGTCACTGTACTGCTTGCTGCGCTGCCACTGCTTTCTGAGATGGATTCTGGAGCGATGCCGGTGACGCAATGAGGGCGAGCCCTGCTGGTCAAACTGGGGATCATGGCGTAAGAATTCATTAAACAGTGCCTCGGTCTTCTCATCAATGCTGTAGTCTCTGCGGCGGAAGTGTGGCCTGGGTTTGGTCAAGGGTTGAGGTTCTCCCGTAATAGGAGTCTCTGCCTCCAAACTTACGCTGCTCTCCGATGCTTCGTCTTCCAGCTCTTCCTTAAACAACCGTGCCTCAAAACTCTCACAAACCGTGCCTTTACGGCCAGAATTGGTGAAAAAGCGGCGACGTTCTGATGCCGTCTTTCCAGAGCTACTTCCAAACAATCTGAACTCCTCCGGAGCCTTGCAAGGAGCCTCGATTGAGGCGTATCCGCTGTCCATCTGCAGAAGCTTCCGGTTGTTTGCCTCTCCGTCGCTGCCTCTCTCGGAGTCCACACTGTCCCGTCCATTTCTCCTCTGCTCGGCTTCCCTGACCACGTCATCATATGGATGCTCGCTGTCTATGTCTATATCATCATCGATGTCTTGCGACTGGTAGCTGGGGACGCCCGCTCTCAATGCTCCTGCTGAGCAAACGCTGTCGGCATCGCTGCGAGTGGAGTCCCTGTCATTGCTGCTCAGGTCGGAGGAGGCGTACTGCTCCAGCGATGCTCTCAGGCTCCAGATGTCGCGGTACAGGCTGGGCTGCTCTAGACTCTCCTGATGGCTCACTGGTCCATACTCTTCACTCCCGTAATAGGAGTCTCTGCCTCCAAACTTACGCTGCTCTCCGATGCTTCGTCTTCCAGCTCTTCCTTAAACAACCGTGCCTCAAAACTCTCACAAACCGTGCCTTTACGGCCAGAATTGGTGAAAAAGCGGCGACGTTCTGATGCCGTCTTTCCAGAGCTACTTCCAAACAATCTGAACTCCTCCGGAGCCTTGCAAGGAGCCTCGATTGAGGCGTATCCGCTGTCCATCTGCAGAAGCTTCCGGTTGTTTGCCTCTCCGTCGCTGCCTCTCTCGGAGTCCACACTGTCCCGTCCATTTCTCCTCTGCTCGGCTTCCCTGACCACGTCATCATATGGATGCTCGCTGTCCATGTCTATATCATCATCGATGTCTTGCGACTGGTAGCTGGGGACGCCCGCTCTCAATGCTCCTGCTGAGCAAACGCTGTCGGCATCGCTGCGAGTGGAGTCCCTGTCGTTGCTGCTCAGGTCGGAGGAGGCGTACTGCTCCAGCGATGCTCTCAGGCTCCAGATGTCGCGGTACAGGCTGGGCTGCTCTAGACTCTCCTGATGGCTCACTGGTCCATACTCTTCACAGTCGCCTCCTGACGCTTCAGCCATCATCTCCTGTCCATTCTCTTCACCATCCTCCACTTCCAGAGGTCCATGGGTTGAGGGGAATGTTGGAGTTGTGTCTTTCACTGCATCTGTGTTGACTCTGAGCTCCATTACGGCTTCTACCTCTAGCCTGAACGGTAAACAAGACTGTTATGTTATGGTAAAATGGTTTTATATTCTAGTAGAGATGATGGGACAAACCGATTAAAGGGATAGTCATTAATTACTCACCCTCATGTCGTTCCAAACCCGTAATCCCTTTATTCATCTTTGGAACACAAATTAAGATATTTATGATAAAAACCCGAGAGCTTTCTGACCCTCCATAGACAGCAAGGGTACTCAAGGCACAGAAATGTAGTGAGGACATTGGTAAAATAGTCCATGTGACATCAGTGGACATCAGCATTTCTGTGCCTGGGAACATTTCAGTTACGTTACTGTCTATGCAGGGTCAGACAGCTCTCGGATTTCATCAAAAATATCTTCGTGTTCCGAAGATGAACGAAGTTCTAACGGGTTCGGAACGACATAAGGGTGAGTAATTAATGACAGAATTAGCATTTTTGGGTGAACTATCCCTTTAATTCGGATTCTTCTGCAAACCTTCTAGATTATACTGTAAATGAATAATATGAACATAATCTCTAGAATTTAGCAATGAGCAATGGTTTCAATTTGCCCAAGATTTGTGTCCATGCAGTTACTAAAAAAATTAGATGAATCAAGGCTTCTTTAGGAATTGAACTGTGAATCCTGAAATGTAATGCTAAGGTGCATGAAGTTCCCTTAATTCAGATATGTTCAATCCTGATCTTGGAGGACCACTGTCCTGCACAGATTATGCTTAACCTTAAGTATACACACCTGAAGCAATTAATCAACGTTTTCAGGAGTACAAGAAATGTTCAGGAAAGTGTGTATGGCCAGGTTGGAGCTAAACTATAGCTGTGCTTCTCAAACCTGTCTTGGGTACCCCCCACCACTGCACATTTTGGATATCTCCCTCATCTAACACACCTGCTTCAACTCACCAAACATTGGCCCTCTAGATAGTAAACCTCCAAGAGCAGGACTGGACTGAATTAGAGGTGTCCAATCCTGCTCCTGGAGGTCCACTATCCTGCAGAGTTTGACTCAAATTCTAATTTAAAACATCTGAACCAGCCAATCAGAATTTTTAGGATCAGTAGAAACATTCAGGCAAGTGTATTTGGGCAGACTGGAGCTAAACTAACTAATCCAGTTCCTGGAAATCTACCTACCTGCAGACTTCATTTCCAACCCTGGTCCAACACACCTGTCAGTAGTTATCACGTCATTGGTTCTCTAAGAGCAGGATAGGACAGTCCTAATTCTGTGGAGTCCAATCCTGCTCCTGAAGGACCACTATCCTGCAGAGTTTGGCTCAAATCCTATTGAAACACACCTGAACCAGCTAGTGCAGGGGTCTCCAACCCTACTCCTCCAGAGCTACCGTCCTGCAAAGTTTGGCTCCAATCCAAATCAAACACAACTGAACAAGCTAATTAAGGTGTGCAGGGTTACTTGAAAATTACAGACAGGTGTATTCAAGCAAGCTGGAAGCTCTCCAGGAGCAGAGTTGGAGACTCCTGAGAGAGTGTGTTCGGGCAGATGGGAACAGAACGTCTTAGCAGTGATTCCCAACACTGCACAATGTGGGTCAAGGAGTAACTATGAGTGAGCTGATGACCTGAATCGGGTGTTTGGTTTAAAGAGACATGCAAAATGTGCAGTGTTGGGGGGGGTTCCAGGAACATGCTTTATAGCAGGGGTCTTCAAACTCGGTCCTTAGGGGCCGGTGTTCTGCAGAGTTTAGCTCCAACCCTAATTAAACACACCTGAACCAGCCAAACAAGGTCTTAAGCCCTAAACACACTGCACGAATTCCGGCTGTCCCAGACAAAAGATTGGCATCGTGAAACAATTGTGCCGATTTCTGTGATCGTAGATCCTAATCAGTGGTCCTGTGTCATACAGTGAGAGAGGTTCAAAGACAGCCGTTGTCACGGTCTTGCGACCAAAGATAGTCTACGACGCAGCATGATCATCGCACAGTGTGTTTGCTGCTACGATCAACGTTTACTGACCAACCAATAAAAATGCGACATGGTGCTTAAACGTAAAACTGCTTGCCTCAAGCTCTTATCCCTTCCTCTTTCGTCACTTCCACTTTTTCTCAGCACATGTAAAAACTACAACTGCTAAAGTGTGATATCTCACGCTCTTATTATTTATCACTAGCGCATGCTGATGACGTTTTATTCTTTTATAGTAACGTGCGTCGTAGCATATGAGTCAATAGGTGTCATCATCGTACAGTCTACACACACGTCGTAGCCAAGTTTATTAGATCCATGTCGCACAGTGTGACATGCAGTGATCTTATAGGATTGCTAAAATCGTGCAGTGTGTTTTGGGCTTTACTAGGCATACTAGAAACTTCCAGGCAGGTGTGTTGAGGCAAGTTGGAGCTACACTCTGCAGGAAACCGAGTAGTTTGGAGGCGCATGCTTTATAGGACACCCCTGCTCTAATTTTAGGATATTTTGACAAGAGCTCCTGAGGTGA